CTTCTTTCCTTCTTTCTTTCTTTCTTTCTTTCTTTCTTTCTTTCTTTCTTTCTTTCTTTCTTTCTTTCTTTCTTTCTTTCTTTCCTCCCTCCCTCCCTCCCTCCCTCCCTCCCTTGTTTCATTCCTCCCTCCCTCCCTTCCTTCCACTCCTACACACTTCTACCTACAGACATCTATATTTCACTCGCCTGAAGCATGGCCTACCTTCAAGATTCCATGGCTGTTTCAGGCCTTGCTTCTGGTTGCCACCGTACAAAACAAGAAACTCCTGTGGTGCTCCCTCACAATTTTAGCTTCACCACCCTTTAGGCTTTATAGAGAAACTACGACCCCCCAGACTCTTGAGGCAGGCCCTACTCCAGGTGAACCAAACAGAGGTGTCTGTATCTCCCAGAATTCTTCTTCGGGAATTCCTGGAGAATTCTGGAAGCCTTTTAAAAAGCCCCAACTAAATGGCCTATCCCTCGTTTGGACTTCCATAACTGATCAAGGGATTTCTTATTAATGTAGCAACTAAAACCAAAGCTAATCAAGCTTCTATATCTGGTTCCACAGCAGTACTTCAGCTGCCAAGATAAGGATTAGCGATATCTGATTGTGTGCAACCTCCCACCCATAATGTTCCACCCAGTGTTGGATGTTTTATCTCATTGTGTCTTCTTCAAGACAGAATATTCCAGAGTCGAACACACCCTGTCGGCATCAGAGGGAGTTACCAACCAGGCCAAGCATCCTACGACCAATTCTAGATCAATACACTATATTCAAGTTTTGGACTCCTTAAGACTAGGGATGCGGAGCTGTCGTTGGATCACAGCCTCCTGCCACAGACCTTGCCGATGGGAATTAGAGTCAACGCCATCTTTATGGACTGCAGGGTGTCTCGCCTCTGACTCAGTTACATCTTAGACAGAAGTTATTCCCCTCATTTAAGGGTGAAGGACATATGGCCCTTCAGAGGTAACTCCCATGATCTCTGTCCACTGTCCACTCTAACTGGGGTTGATGAGAACTGGAGTTTTTCAACATCTGGAGTTCCACAAACTTGTACAGTATCAGAGCTAAAGCAAAACACTATCATCCAGCTTTAGCGCCGCCCCCCCCCCCAAGCATCCCTTTCCACTTTGTGGAACACTACCAAAAAACTAGCTCCAAAGCAGACATTCAATTTCATTTCCCAGGCTCAACCATTGAGTAGCAACCATTCCAGTCTCCCACAATGCCATTGAGCCACGCTATCCTTAGAGCCACTAGGACCCATGAAAACTGGTAGATGCTCAAGAATGGCAGAGACTCAAAAGGGGAGCGCTTTCTGGAGAAGCCAATGGGCAAGGAGTCCATTGGGATGAGGAGGAGCCCACCGACGGGCACGGCGCTCAGAGCTTCCTCAAGGCTGGAGCCAACCCTGCGACCAACACACAACAGAGCCAAGTTTACCTCAGGAGGAATACTGTCATCTGAATCTGAGCTGTCATCGCACCCGCTGCTGTCCAAATTCATCTGTAGCAACTGGTCAATGGTGGCGTCCACGGCACCATTGTTAGCCCTCAAAACACATTCAATTATGTCGTAATCCATGTTGGGGAACATAGTTTTGAAATCCTCCATTGCCTGGTTAAATTCCAGCCGCCGTACCTGCCTGGCAGGGCGACTATTGTTAAGTTCTTGGGTGGAAGAGCTATTATTCCTTGAGCTGCCATTACTGCTGCTCCGGCGGAACAGACTTGTCATTTTTGATAATTGCTTTTGGAAAATGTTTAAACTTTTTTCAAATCAGTTTTTGAGGTAGGAACCAAAAAAAATTAATAATAAAAGAAACATATATATCCCAAGCCAGGAGTTAAGAAATTACGAGGCCTCCGGGTTCGTCGTCAAGAAGCTATACAGCCATCTTCCAGCGCCGCCGATCCATCCTTCGCCACGGAATGGCAGAACATTGGAGACGTCAAAGTTAAGACGGGCCACCGTAATCCTGAAGGATTTGGGCCCAGGTGAATCCGCCACGGAGGACTGTCAGGGAAGGACTTCAGAAATATGACAGCGTTGAATGCCTCAGAAGCATGCTGACCTGCAAATATACAATAATAGTAATATGAATAATTAAAAATCAGGTACAAGCAACATAACTGCAGAAGCATATCATGAATTGTCCCTTGGTTTTCAGTCTCATGAACTGTGGGTTGAAGAGGAATGAGTGGCACTAAAGTAATGTTTCCAAACTTGGGTCTCCAGATGTTCTTGGACTTCAGCTTCCAGAAATCCTGGACAGCACAGATAGTGGTAAAGGCTTCTGGGAATTTTAGTCCAAGATTATCCGGGCACTCGAAGTTGGGAACCACTGCAAAGAGTTGCCCAGTTTAGGGGTGCAAGAAAAAGCATCTACTAGTAAACAGCTTTCTTTTATTCAGCTCAGGTAAAGGAGAGAATGAAGAAATAATGTAATTTGTTGCATACCGGTCTGCTCAAACGGCCTTATTGCTGCTTTTGACAACTTAAAATAAATCAGTGGATATAAACGGTTTTAGACTAAGTGTTCTCAACAACAGCACAGTTCCAGGTTTCCTGGATGAAGCTCATTATTTGAACCTTTTCCAAACCTAGCCTGGCTTTGGGGACAGAAGCAGTTTTGGTAAATTAGATGGATGAGGAACTAAATTGGAGAAGGTATGTTTTCCTAGACCTTCGGTGGCATTCAATACCACCAATCATGATAAATTAGATGGATGAGGAACTAAATTGGATGTTTTCCTAGACCTTCGGCGGCATTCAATACCACCAATCATGCTACAGCTCTACTATCATCATTGATGCTTTATTTTCACTTTTCACCTCCTGGACTTCATCATGGTTCTGTACCCTTAATGCCAAGCTTTGCATTATCTCTGATTCATGATTATTTTTCAAGTGTATGAGAGAAAGCTCACAACCCTGTATAGAGACACTGAATTAAATGATTCGTCCCGACTGAGAGAGACAAGCAGAGTGAGCTTGTTAAGTCAACACTTACCTAAGTCCCACTGGTAAAGAAGGAAAAAAATAACCAAAAAGCATCAGTCATGTTGAAAAATTATATCAATACTTACATCATCAACACTTACATAAGTCCCATTGATTCAATGACCAACAAAGGACAAGAGAAAAATAAACAGCTGGGGGGGGGGAAGGTCAGGCATACTGAAAAATTATGGCCCATGTTTTTTTTTAAAACACCTGAGAGTTACCAGCAGATGGGGGAGAAAGTAAAAGAGAGACATAGATTCTAAGATTAGCACTCCATCTTAAGGCAGCCAGTTTCCCTAGAGAACAGGAAGGAAATACAATTTATTTCTGGTGCAAACTCTACTGATGGATGACATTGCACTAGGGGGGGAAAAAGCAGAGCTCATCACATGATCTAATTTCTATTAAGCGGCAGGTGGGAGATTTTAAAACCCAACCAGATAAGAAAGCCATATTTAAAGTTACATTTAAAAAAAGGTAACAGGAAAAGAAATGCCATGAGAACCACTTAGATAAAACATTAGGCAAGCAGATTTAACCCCATTAGATAAAACAGTAAGTTCTACAACATATATTTGTCTTGTCTCTTACCACCTATATGTATTATCTTCTGTTCTGGTGTTACGTGATTAAGGCTGGCAATAAAACAGCATTTGTTCAACACGAACAGCTATAATTGGAAAATTTAAGGGAATACATGGAGTGAATGGATCTCGGGCAAAGAATCTCGGGTTGTGTGGTGGTATCTCCGGTAGGATTTTTGTAGTTTTGATTTACATATTCTTCTCTTCGAGCAAAATGTTTGCGAAATGCACGTCTGTCTCTGTGAAGGACGAGTGTCATAACAAGTATTTCCAGCTTTAAGTTGGGAAGATGGGAAACTGACTGAAAACATAGGGAAAGGGTGCGTTTATCCACAATGATGTTTGATCTCAAACACGGGGAACTTGAAAAACAATCAGGGACACATTGGGGCTGTAGCTCACAGCAGCCACATCCATCATCCCCCACCTGCCACGGAGCAGCTGCCTTCCTCCACCTAAGGCCAGCTCTGTGTCTAAGCCTTAGGAATTTCAAGAAAGAATGCCTCGTTTTCCCGTACCTTTAGTCGTTCCGTTTCAAGCACGCAGATGTAACTGAGAAGATTCACTGTCACCACGTCACCACCTCATTCTCCGGCATTTCCACGAAAACCGCTTGAAACCAAGAGGGATGGAGATTTCTTTCATCATCTGTCCAGGTGGAGAAAATAACCATAGCAACCTGCAAAAGAAAGCATGCTTTAATGCTATATCACTTCTCAAGCCGATTGAGTCATGTTTGTACATATTTGCTTCAAAAGCAAAACCAAATATGATGTTTAGGCAAAGTGTTCCTCTCCGTTTTCAGTGGAAATTGAAGGCTTTGGATTTTCAAATTTTTGGAAATCTGTTCCAGGTTCACCAAAGGAAATACATAAGGACCACCAGAATTAATTAATAAGTTCCTTTTAAGGGTCATTACAAGACAGCAGCTACATGCTGAAGAACAGGCATAAATTTTATTAATAAGGCTTCAAGTCACAATTATCAGATCCAGTAACATGCCATTTCAGCCAAGCCACAATTGCAGTGCAACTTAGTTATTATACCTTAGTTACTAGGAATTACGGTTGCTTGTTACTTCTAACTAGCCACTCCTACATTCTGGTTTGATGTGGTATATGGCAGATTCTGTTCACTGTGGTTGAAAACAAAAACCGCTTTGTGTTGTTTATCAAAGATAACTACCTTGCCGGCCAAATTATACTCTATTTTGCCTTGTGAAGGAACTGCAGGAAAAAGTCTGTGCAAGTGTGACATTTCAACCCCGTAAACCTCCAGAGCTTTATTGCTGCAAACTAGGAAGAAACCAACGAGCGTCAGTACCAGCCTCATTAGAAAGCAAGCAACGGGATGTTAATTTTGATGGCAGATTGCATTCAATTAAGTGAACATCTCCCAGGTGCGGAGAAAATGGCTATTACAAGCTCACCAAGGAGCATGGCGCACCATTCAATGTACTTTTGACAGCAGCTGCCCAAGAAGAGCATTCCATAGAAGTCATCATATCGGCTCTGTTTTTATAGCAGCTGAAATACATCCTGGTTCAAAATGTATGTTGGTCAACTGGCTTATAAGAGGTTGCATTTATGCTACATCAAATTGCTGGTCCATTTTGCCCTGGATTGTACACTAGAAATGTACCTCCAGGTGAAAGTCCTTCTCCAGTTTTAAGATTTAGTTATTTTCCCCTATTCATTAACTATATTTATATCTCACCTTTCCTCCAATGAGCACAAGGCGACATACATGATTCTCTTTCTTCCCGCTTCACCTTCTCAACAACTGGCCTATGAGGTTGATCAAGTGGAGACACACCAGTGACTAGCACCAACCCACTTACAGAGTTTTGTGGCTTAATAGGACCCTGAACCTCGATCTCCTAAAATTCTGCAAACTCCAGTCTAAATCTAACGGCCAGAAACCTGTTGCCCATTTATAAATGTACTAGGGAAATTGCATAAATCTTGGTAGCCAAATGCAGCTCATTAAGTAGGTGCTGATCGCATTCAGGGGCATAATGTGCACCTGCCCAAGAACACAACCAGCACCTCATTGATGATTGCCAATTTGCCAAGAATATTTAAATGATCCCCCTTACCCGAGCATAAATTGCACCAGAATTTTCACCCTTGTGTTTCATGTAATAGGAGTTTGGCTCGCAGGTAACTGAAACCGGACTCTCAAAAGCTGCCAGCATGGTCAGGTTTCACTAGATGGAGGTTGGTCCATCAGCACAGCCGCATCTAAAAACCAGGCTACCCTCCGACACCCCACTTCTGCCTGTCTCCTTTCTTCCAGTGGGCGATGCTTTTGTGCGATTGGGAGTATGGATACCCAGCTCTGCCTCTCTGTCCTGCGGTGGGTAGCATGGTTTTCTCTCATGCACTGGCTGCTGGGCTTTCCAATTCACCAGCTCCAACAGACATCTGTTGCCCAAAGCCCCATCCATAACTAGAGCAGCTGCAGAAGGAACCCAAGACCTTGTGCAGAATGGCTGGATTGCTCAGTGGCTTCGGTGTTTGGCTGTGGAGTCGGAGGTTTGGAGTTCAATTCCCCCACTGGACTCGATGATCGGTAGGTTCCCCTCCAGTTCTGGAGTTCAAAGGTTACGCTGCTGCTGTTGTTGTTGTTATAAAAGCAAGTGTTCTATCCCTGAGTTACGTCTCCTTGGAACTTCTGGTTTTAACTGCACAGGTTAAATTGGAAGCTCTGCCCACCAGCCGTAACCGGGCCCTTAATTCCCCATAGAGTTTGGATGACGGAACTGCAGCCACCCAGATGCTTCGGAGAATCTGACGAAACAGGGTTGCCAGAGAGGTGGCCACCTTCTGTTGCTTGCTCTCAGCATCTGGCATTTTAAGAGGAGCCCTGCCTTCAATCACGGAGGTCAACCGGAATCAAATTACAGCTGTAATACAGATGCCCGTTTCCTGCAAGGTAAGGAATTGCCCCCCTTTACCTCCTTCCATGCAGTAGCATGGTGGATCAGGTTGCTTAAACCAGTGGCCAGGGTTGAAGTTAAAATTTAAAACACACACACATTCAGAGAGAGAGAAAAACAAGCTCGCCCACACACTGGAACAATCTCCGGCTGATGGCCGTCTTCGTCTCTTCCACAGATGGTCTTCGAAACCTGGCATGTCTATTGCCAGCCGCCCTATCCCTCCCCAACACAAAACAGATCAAAAGCATATTGTCTCCCCTTCTGCAGTTAGTCCGCGAACGACTCCTACCAGGCCCTTCGACACATGCTTTTCCTTCACACGCGCAGACACGCAACTGTTCATTCACAGCTTCTGGTGCTCCACCAAGCCCTGCCAAGTACACCTCCCACGGGCTCCGTTTGCAGCCGCCCGGATCCTTCCCGGCAAAGCAAGGCTGGAGTTCCTCAAAAGCTTTCCAGAAGGCACTGCCAAGGTGCCTTGCCAACCGCAAGCCCAAATCCTGGTATTGATTTATTCATCATTAAAGGGGTGCCAGCCATCCGAGGGTTCAAGTGCTGGCTAATGCTCTGCCTCCCGCTGGATGGAAGGAAGGGGTGTTCTGTGCTTCAGGCCAGCAGCTTGTACATCCAGACTTTTAAATAAGTAGGTATTGCCATTATTTCTAAGAAATAATATAGTCTTCATGTGCTGTCAAGTCAATTCTGACTTAGCGTGACACTTTTCAGGGTTTCCCAGGTAGAAAGTATTCAGAAGTGGTTGAGCCTTCCCTTCTTCTTCCGGGGGAGCCCTGGGATCACTGTGCAGCTTGCCCGTGGCTACCCAGGCTGGCTCTCCTGGGATGCACAATGGGGAATCAAACTCTCAGTCTCTGTCTCTGCAGCCAGATACTTAAACCATTACGTTATCCTACCAGCTAGAATGAAGAAATACAAGAGATATAAAAAGAGGCTTTAAAAAAAACAGCCAGTATTATCAGCAACAAGCTAATTTTTACTATGTTCAACAAAAATAAAGCAAAAACAAAATTGTTTGGCGTCTTTAAGACCAACGCATCTGTTTCAATGTGAGATTTTGTGGATTATAATCTGCTATGTTTTGAAGCCTTGCGTTTATAACTACTGTAATGATTCTTCTGTAGTATATTTTTTTATCAAAATGTGTGTATGCTCTCACCCTTCTCAATAGGTGCAGATACACAGTCCCTTATGATGCTTCTCTCCAAAACAGAGGAGAATGGTGTGTGTGTGCATGTGTGTGTGTGTGTAGTGGATACTATCAAAGCCAGTGCCCCTGATGCAAGAAGCAATCTCATCATTATAAAAGAGAGTCGTTTCTATTCCACAGCTGCTTTCCTCTTGGGATTGCAAAAGCTCTGTCAGATCATTAATTGAGTTTCACCAAAGGACTCACTAAAAGTGTCTTGATAACCCTTTTACGGGCAAGCGTTCCGGGGCAAAAGATATGTTGTTCCCAAGGTTAATGGAGGAAGGGCAACCTAGTACTGTGTCCGGTTACGTTCTGCACACCTGCTCAGGGATCAACATGCTCTGACCCATATTTGCTGACACGCACATACACACCCATTTGCCTTGCTCCTTTAAGGAAGGCCAAGACATTTAACTGATCTACCTCTGTTTAGATTAAAGAGATGAGTGGGTTACACACCCATTTGCCTTGCTCCTTTAAGGGAGGCCAAGACGTTTAACTGATCTACCTGTTTAGATTAAAGAGATGAGTATTTGGAATGGATTCTAAGTGGGGAAGGAAGGAAGGAAGGAAGGAAGGAAGGAAGGAAGGAAGGAAGGGAAGGAAGGAAGGAAGGAAAGAAGGACAAAAGAACTGCGTACTCCACAGCAACTGACATTTTGGGCTATGAACAGAGCTCTATTTTTATGCAAAAAAACCCCAAAATCAAAATACCCCCAGCAAATTGGGTTCTTTGCATAATTTTTAAAAGTCACAAGATTCTGACATTCTAAATGGCAGAATGCTGACGTGTCCCTTAACCTGATTGCTACAAAGAGGGTGGTTTTTTTGGTAAAACTGACAACCGTTTATGGAAAACATGGAAGTGTTAATACCAAAGTCATATATTAATCACGTTAGACTGGTAACTGAAAATGCCTGTCTATTCAACTGTGCATTTCTGGACTAATGAGCGGATGGCTTTTTTTCTCATCTATCTGAAATTCTAATTTGTTCTAAATAGCTTGAATTGCTTTTAAGTGTTTAATGTGTTTGAAATTGCTTAAGTTGTTGAGTCATTAGATTCTCCTACCATCATTATACTGATTGTATCCCACTCTGAGATCTGTTGATATAAGGTAGGTTAGAAATACTTGGATGGATGGATGGATGGATGGATGGATGGATGGATGGATGGATGGATGGATGGAAATTGATTCAAGATCACCCAATGGCTTTCAATGGTTGGTTAAAGACTGGAACCAGCCTCTCTTTGTTCCTAGTCTGACATATTTATAAATTTATTAGTCACCTTTATAACCTGCCTCTCTTCTGATCAGATCAAAGTGACATAACAGTGATCAAAGAGAAAGAACAGCAATGTCATCTTAGAAAATGCTCCTTTCCCACTGGTTGAGCATCAGTTTTACTAGTTCATTTCCTTAACCCTCAAGTCATAATTTAAATATCCAGGAGTGGTGGCCACTGAGCTTCAATGCTGTGAAACTCTGGAATATGTGTGTCTGTGTGTGTATTTGGGGTTCCCCTG